GCCAGGGCTACACAGAGAAACCCTGTCTCAAAAAAGAGTATACTCCTGTTGCTCAGGCTAAGTGCTACTCAGCCCCAGGCAGCTCTAATGAACGGTTCATTTTAGCTCAGTTGCATTGCCTATCCATAAACCTGTTCTAACTCTCATAGGCAGCCATCTGCTAATCCTTTGGTTGTTTTGTTTGAGGTTTTGCATTTTTCTCAAATAATTATTATTTGTTTTGTTTTGTGTTTTTGAGACAAGAGTCTCACCTTGTAGCTCTGGCTGGCCTGGAAGACACCATGCAGACCAGACTGTCCCAGAAACTCAAAGCAGTCCTCCTGCCTCTGCCTCCTGAGTGCTGGGATTAAAAGTGTGTGCCACCATGATCATCTCAAATAAATTTAAATTTACTTGTAAATTTAAACATTTTTCATTTGTAACCCTTAGGAGAGTGGGCAAGGGATTTTTCCTCCCTTTGCTCAATGGTTTTGGAATTGCAAATTAACAGATAGGTATGCATCAGTTTGTTTTGTTTTATTTTTTAAGATTATTAGCGGGCGGTGGTGGAGCACGCCTTTAATTCCAGCACTTGTGAGGCTGAGGCAGAGGAAGGCGGATTTCTGAGTCCAAGGCCAGCCTTGTCTACAGAGTGAGTTCCAGGACAGCCAGGACTATACAGAGAAACCTTGTCTCGAAAAACAAAAACAAAAACAAAACAAAAAAAAGATTACTTTCTGTGAGTCGGGCAATTGGTGGCCCACTTCTTTAATCTCAACACTTGGGAGGCAGAGGCAGGAGGATCTCTATGCATTAGAGGCCAGCCTGATCTACAGAGCAAGTCCCAGGACAGCCAAAGCTGCATAGAGAAACCCTGTCTCAAGAAACAAAAACAAACAAACAAACAAAAGATTATTTCTGTCTGTGCACCAGTTGCATGCCTGTGCCTGGTGCCTTGGGTCAGAAGTGGCCTTCAGATTTTCTAGAACTGGAATTAAAGGCAGTGTTGAGACACCATGTGGGAGCTGGGAGTCAAATCTGCGTTCTCTGGAAGAGCAGCCACTTCTCTTAACCACTTCAGTCCCAAGTGATGGCGTGCAGGGCTGGAACATCCTTCCTCTCACTCATCCCAGCTTCTGGCTTTGCTTTTTTTTTTTTTAAGTATTATTCCACATATAGATGAGATCTCAAAGTTCTTGTTTTTCTATACTTTATCATTTCTTTTCTATAAAAAAATGTTATCTACTTGTCTTTACTTTATGTGCATTGGTGTTTTGCCTGCATGTATGTCTGTGTGAGGGTGTTAGATCTTGGAGTTACAGACAGCTGTGAGCTGCCATGTGGATGCTGGGAATTGAACCTGGGTCCTTTGGAAGAGCAGCCAGTGCTCTTAACCACTGAGCCACATCTCCAGGCTACTTTATCATTTCTTTAACAGACAGTCTCCTAAGAATTTTAGTTTCGTAGTAAAGTTGGGCAGAAGACACAGCACTCTCCTCTCAGTTACCAAATTCCCTACCCTGGTGATCCACTGATGTCACCTGACCCAGCATTGTCACCCAGAGCTCACAGACTTGAGTCCACGCTGGTGGATCGGTTGTACATTCTGTGGATCAGAATAAACATGTAATGACTTGCAGAACAGTCTCACGGACCTTACAACGCTCTGTGCTTCCCCTGTCTTGTTTCTTAGGAGAGCCAACAACAGAAGAAATCTAAATGTGAAACTCCAACATATAGCTCCAGAGAAACATGGTGTTCAGATTGCTCAGCTTTAGGTAAGGTGAGAGGATGCACAGGTTGCCTTCTGTTATTTAGCAGCTGCACATCCGGTGTTTGAGGTTGTGCAGAGACACACAATTCCTCCCTCCATCTTCTCCACCCCTGCCTGCCTTATCCAATCACTTTCTTCTATAATACATTCTGTTCTTTCCAGTCCCTCGATCTGTCTGTAGGCTCCTTCTCACTCCCATCCTTTCTCCCTCTCCACCCATCCATCCTTCAAAACCACTTGCCTCTACCCGAGCTGCCACTGAATCCTGCCACACACAAGGTTGTCTTCCCTCCATGAACACACCACTGCTTTGCCCTTTGAGCCCTTAATGACAACTCCATCATTTGGCCCTGTTGAGATACTGGATTTTACTGCTAGTTAAATTTTCATATGCACAAGTCTTGCCTCCTCCACTGAGTTGTAAACACCTAAAACAATGGCTCTACTGTCCCCTCCAGGGAATGTGTCGGTCACTGCAAAGACACAGATCTCTGATTACTTTATACCTACCTGGATCTATGGCATGTCTACCAAAAGCAAAACTTGGAAGACGTTAAAGTTTGTCTCTTAATATTTCAGTGACTGGAACAGAATCATAAACCTGGGTCTCAGTCCACTCTGACTGACCCAGACTTACTTCCAAGGCAGCTTCTCAGCCGAGAGTCTAGTACTAGGTAACTGAGTCACCCAGAGCCAACATTGCCAGCCTTCCCCTGGCTCTACATGCAAACTGGTTCACTATGCTGTGCAGACCAATAATTCCAATTGTATATGACAGACAAATTTTAAATTGTTGGAGTTGTGTATGGCAGACAGATTTTGAACATCTGGGTTCCAACGGAACCAGCTTGCACTGGCTTGTTTTCATGAAGCTAATCTCTGGTTCTTATGAAAAAGAAAGTACTTTTAAACCAGTGGTTCTCACCCTTCCTAAGGCTGTGACCCGCTAACACAGTTCGTCATGTTGTGGTGACCCCTAGCCATAAAACTATTTCATTGCTATTTCATAACTGTAATTTTGCTGCTGTTAATGGATCATAATGTAAATATCTGATATGTGACCCCAAAGGGGTCATGACCCACGGGTCGTGAACCACTTTAAAACCATCTTGGGAGAAATAAATACATTTGGGGTATATTCGATAGATGTGGAAACAGCTGAAACACGCAGGCACCGGATTGGGAAAGTGTGTTTGTACAAGGAGGATGACCCGGCTTGCTTGACAGAAGGCCATTTTCTTCTTAAATGCTGTTTGAGTGCTGTCGAAAGAAACCCTGCTTTTTCAAGCCCATTCCTTAGAAGAAAAGAAAATATGGCTGGTGATCATTAGCCAGCTTTATTTTATTTACTAAGATAAGATTTATAGCTTCGAGTAAGACTGAACTCGTGCACTACCCACAATTACCCTGTAACACAGAACACGGTTGCCAAGCATCTTAGTAAATGCTGGACTCTCCAGGAACCATGAAAATTCCAGGCCACCCCTTGTTCCAACAACCTTAAAGAACCGGCCAAATCTCTACTCACTATGGGAGGTAGAGGAAGGTGCCCAGTGGCAAGGTATTGTGTATACAACTGCCACTAGACACTTTGAAAGGGGAGGGCTCTTTCAGTTGATTCTGCGGCCCTTCACTCTGACACCCAGGATCATCTGTAGTTTTAGCAATCCTCCAGCAGAGATTACAAGTGTGAGTTGTCACACTCAGCTGAGATGGTCATTAGGATTTATTATTATTATCATTATTACTCGTGTGTGTGTGTGTGTGTGTGTGTGTGTGCATGTCTGAAGGAAGCCAGAGGACAACTTACAGAGAGATTGGTTCTCTCAGTCCACTCTGTGAATCCTGGGAATTGAACTCAGGTTATCAGAGTTGGTGGCAAGCACTGGGCCATTTTTTGTTTAATGGTGGTTGTGTTTATTTATGCAGAGGCTTGGGGCTTTTTTTTTTTATTTGTTTTTGTTTTGCTGTGTTTTGTTTGGTATGTACTTATTGGTTTTTAGGGTTCTTTTCATATAATATATATTTGATCATATTCTTTTCTGACTCCTCCCAGTACCTCCCCACCTCCCTTTTCACCAAACTTCCTGAGAGGAGAAAAGAATCTATGCAGAAGAGAAAAGAAATATTTTATTGATTGATTGATTGATTGATTGATTGATTGATTGATTTTTATGGTTTTTTCGAGACAGTGTTTCTCTGTGTAGCCCTGGCTGTCCTGGAACTCACTCTGTAGACCAGGCAGGCCTCGAACTCAGAAATCTGCCTGCCTCTGCCTCCCAAGTGCTGGGATTAAAGGCGTGTGCCACTACTGCCCGGCGGAAAGAAATATTTTAAGAACCAGGGTTTGTGGATGGTTCCAAGGAAACAGCATCCTCCAGACACATCAGGACTGATGCTCCTGTGAACTCTCCGAGACTGTGACAGGGTGCAAAGACCTCCACAGGTTCAAGCCAGAAAGAATCCCACGACCAGGAAGGGGAAGTGGACACAAAGCCCCACCCCTAACCAAGCGGCCATCTGCAATGCCTTCTGGGAAAGAAAAGGATCAGTTTACTCCAATGGAGTATCTGTCACCTTGGCTAACTGCCACACTGAGGCAGGCTTCCATGTTTTTGTGTGCTTTGTTTGGCTGGGTTGTTTTTGTTTTTAATTTGTATGTTTTTATTTTTGTTTTGTTTGAGAGAGAGATACAGGGTTGTTTCTGAATGCACGTGTAATAGTAGATAATTCTGTGGGAGGGAGTAAAAAGAATATAAAACAGTGATTCATGTTGATAGATAAAATCAGACATGTAAATAGGATTAATTCATTTTCAGGTCCTTAACAATAAATAGAAAACCCTAGGTGTGGTGAGGCAGGCCTTTCGTCCTAGTAGTTGGCAGGCAGAGGCGGGTGGATCTCTGGGAGAACCTATCTCTACATAAATGAGAATAAAGCTTGGATAATCCAACACCAACTAGCCAGCCGCTCAGAGGTTGAAGTAGGAGAGTACTCAAGTTCAGGTTCAATGTTATCAGCCAGCCTTTATCTACACTGTGAGTTCCAGGACATTCCTATCTCAAAAGACCAAAGAAACTAAAACAAACACAAAACTGGGGATGAGTCATGATCAGTTGATAGAAGGCTTGTCTGGCATGCAGGAGGGTCTGGGTTTGATTCCCAGCACTGACAATTAATTCACCCAGAAACAACAAAAGGTGAAAATACAAGAGAAATCGATTAAGTACCAAAAGAAACGTATTCAAAGGGTGACAGCTCTTTTAGAATTTGTCTGGAAGGTTTTCTAGCTTTCACTGGAAACCAACCCCCTGAAGAAATATATTCACTCCATTAGTAATTTTGAAAATAACAATTCTGATCATAACAATAAAAGCAAAACGACCACATACTAGGCACTAGACATGTTGTAGGTGATAGGTGATAAGTTATATTAAATGCCGGTTTATTGGGAAGTGGCTCTCTGGTGAGCTCACTGGCCCCAGGGAAGTCACCATGGGAAGGGGGGAGGGAGAGAAAGAGAGAAATGGTGTGCACACATGGAGTGAAGAAAAAGAGAAGATGCAGAGGGAATCAAAATGTTTAGACTGGCCAGCGGTGGTGGCGCACACCTTTAATCCCAGCACTTGGGAGACAGAGGCAGGCAGATTTCTGAGTTCGAGGCCAGCCTGGTCTACAGCGTGAGTTCCAGGACACCCAGGGCTACACAGACAAACCCTGTCTCGAAAAAACTAAAAAAAAAAAAAAAAAAAACCCCAAAAAAATGTTTGGAGTGTAGAGGGAAGAGACTCTGGGGGAAGTTCAGGACTGGGGGCAGGGTATGCTAGGTAGGGACTGAGGGATGCTGGGAGAACCTAGGGGCCAGGTGTGCTTTGATATGTAAAATATGCACCTCCCTCCCTTGTGGGGGGGGAGGTGAGGAGTGAGGGAGTGGTGGTTGGGGTGGAAGGGTAGGGAGTGGGGGGGGTTAGGGAGTAGGGGGGTTGGGGGATGGTATCTGAAACCAAACATCTGGTGTTAGTTTATTTCATCATAAAGTATGTTCTTATTCGTGTTTCACAGATAAAGAAACTGAGACTTTAGAAATGGTAGCTGCCGACCTCACCACTTTACATTATTCAGTCCCCCTGCCAGGATTTGATTTATGCAGGAGGAAGACTCCAGTTCTCCATACACTCAAGGACCTGCTATACAGAGAACTCAAAGAATGAGCAGATGCTCAGGACGCTGGAAAACACTGAAAACCTAAACCACTCTGAAAAGATCCAGCAGCATGAGCCAGACATGGCATTTTAACAAATTTTCCAGACAGGTTTTCTCTGTGTAGCCCTGGATGTCCAGGAACTCACCCTGTAAACCAGGCTGGGCTTGAATTCACAGGAATCCACCTGCCTCTGCCTCCCTAATGCTGGGATTAAAGGTGTGCATCACCACTCCCCAGCTGCATGTTTACTTCTTATTAATTTGTTTATATAGCCTGGGACTTGCTAGACTTGCTTCCAACTCACAGCGATCCTCCTGCCTCTACCTCTGAAGCACTTAGATGACAGGTGTCCACCACCATCCTCAGATATTTCTTAGATTTTTTTTTTTTTTGAGACAAGATCTCACTGTGCTTCCCAAGCAGCTCTTGAATTTACAACCCTCCTGTCTTAGATTCCTGAGTGCTGGGATCAGATTATAGATATATGCTACACTGCCCTTAATGGATCAGAGCATTGTTCAACCAGAGCTAATGATGTACTCCTAAGCTATATCCCCAGCACTGTAATACTTTTTGTAATACTTATGTTTCTTAGTTTTTATTATGAGTACACATAGCTATGAGTATGGCTATACATACATGATAACTGGGGCTTGAGGAAGCCTGAGGTATCAAATCTTCCTGGAGTTGGAGTTAGGCAGTTGTGAACCACCTGACATGGGCATTGGGAACTTGTTTCAGGAAGAACAGCAGTGATTTTAACTACCAAGCCATCTCTTGCACCCAGTATTTTTATATAATATTTTGGGTAATAATACTAATTTTCAGAGTGATGCAGTGTGCTGCCAGCTCAGTTTGACTTCTTGGCTTTCAGGAGTGAGGACAGTACATTAGCTGAACTTTCTTCGATGGCAGAAATGTTCTAGATCCAGACTATCTACAACCATAACTACTGACTGAACTAGTGAAGCACCTGAAGAGTTATGAGAATAACTGAGAAAAAAAACTAAGTTGAAATAATTCGTTTACGTGTCTAGAAGTGAACTGTCTTGCCTGCATATATGGCTGTGCACCACCCATGTGCAGTTCTCTTGGAGGCCAGAAGATGGCGTTGTATCTTCTGGGAGTGTAGTTACACAATGTTTGTGAGCCATCCTGTGTGTGCTGAGAACCAAACCAGTGTCCTTTGGAAGAGCAGTCAGTGCTCTTAACCTTCTGAGCCATTTGCTTATCTCTGTCTCACTAGCAAATGCTACCAGCTACACATACTTCAGTCAGGACACTGGTTTCCATGAGATTGGCATAGACTTAAATGTCCTCTGAAGAAATCCAATGTTCTATAAAACTACAATTTTATCTTTCCTGCTAGCAAGGCTCTCAGCCTTGGCCCAGCACATCAAGCACTGTCAGTATCCCCAGATATCCTTGTTGTCCTTTCATTTGAATAAAATCCTCTTCCTTAACTAGATAAGTAGTCATTCCAGTAACTGTACTTCCTAGTCACCTATGCTGTCATGTGACCACTGTAGTAAAATCTGACTAGCAGGATGCAAGCAGAAGTCATGTGTGCACCTCAAGGGTTGGAGTTACGAGATACATCCTGAGCCTTCTGATGAGAAAATGGGGCGCTAATGAGTCATGAAAACCAAAGTGTTGTCTTGGTCCCCAAAGTAAAAGCACAGCGCCATGAGAGGCAAGAACCATAGGTGTTTCTATGTATCTAAGGCTTGGATTAGCCAGACTGTGTAAAAGAAGAAGAAACCCATTTCTGTTTGAAGCCACTGTTATTTTAGGTGATCACAATTCACAGCTAAGCCCAGTTTAAACTTGTATACTCATTACATTTCACTCAGGAATGATGGCCGTACTTCTCAGAAGTGTTTCAGGACAATCTTCTTCCTAGACGGCATTATTATCCTCAAAAGAACTATGCTCAGAGTAGGGTCTGGATATCTGCACTCATTAAATATGCATTAATAAAATTGGGAAGATGGCTTCTTCCTTCTCAAAGCTCCTCTGACAGGTGGGGAGCGGGGATCTGAAGCAGTGAGCCGAAAGCGAAGCCATCACTTACTTGCTTTCCACCTCAGTGGCTCAGGAGACTTCAGGATGAGCTGGAACATGAGGACTCAGTCCCAGCTAGAGAGGGAAAGGCCTCCAGTTGCTGCCTGCCTCTACCAGCTGCTGATTCCTCCAGAGTCTCTTCTGACATCCTTCACACCAACCCATGCTGATGGTCTTCCGCCTCCACAACTGGGGGAACCATTACTCTTACAGGTCAAGGCTGCTCCCAGGAGGACCAGGCACATTGCAAGGTGCACGAGCAGAGGGTTCAGTCATATGCAGGGAGGAGGAAAGAGGAGACAGGCTATAAATGTAATTTCAAAATGTATTTGTTTGCTGTCTTATTCCTGAAGGGCTCTAAGTTTCACTTACAGAGAGACTATGTGTGAAGTCTACAGATACATATATATTTTTTGAAATTGTATGCATTTACTCATGACTATCCACTCATTAATGAGTGGCTTCTAGTGGCAGGTCTATGGGATTCAGCTTCATTCTCCTGTGATGTTCTCGTTGGAAGCTGAGGGTCACTGGTGCAATATGGTTGTTCCCTAGTTTCCATGAAGGATGGATTCCAGAAACCCTATGGGCATCAAAACCATCAAGTCTCATACAAAACATGACAGTGTTTATATGTGGTCTATTCTCCTCTATGCTTTAGGTCATCACTAGACACTTTAATACCTAATTCTGTCAATGTGGTATAAACCAAGTACTGAGAAGAGAACTTGTGTATGTTTAACACAGAAACAATATTTAAAATATTTTGAGTCTGGGGTTGGTTGAAACTATGATGCAATAGGCAAAGACATGGGTATCTGACTGTATCTGTATCACAAGTAAAGCAATTGTGTTGGGGGAGGGGCACTTTCCTCCTCACAGAATCTATTTGAGCTGTCATATGAAAGTATCTGGACTGGATATAATGGAAAATATAGAAAAGGAAGACAGAAAGCACCTGCTCTCAAAGACGTAGTCTTAGAATATGTGTACAGTTGGATATGGTGATTCAGGCCTGCATTCCCAACATCTAGGAGACCAAAGCAGGGTGGGGAAGGGGACTGGGGGCTAAAGAAATTACTATGAATTAATGGTTAGCCTCGCTACAGTGGGATACCCTGGTTTTTGTTTTATTATAAAGGCAAACACACAGGGGAAAGGTGACCAGGGTAACAGAAAAGTAAAGAGAACTGGCTTCCAGCTGGAGACCTCAGTGTGAGTGCTGGCGTTCCACTTTGAGTGACCTCTTGTTGCTGACTAACTGCCTGTCCATGTGCCTGAGACTCATGCTTTACTGAGGAATTCCTAGAAAAGCAGCTTTCACAACTTCCTTACTTGAGCATTTGAATACTGACTTAGAGTAAGCACTCATCGAAAAATGGATGGATGGATGGATGGATGGATGGATGGATGGATGGAAAGTTTCACAAACCTTTTATCTTCAGTCTTCACCTTCCCTCTTTCCTGTGTGGTCCTAATTTGTACCCCTAGGTAAGGCTGCTAAAATCAGTTTGAGTTGGAACCCTCTCTAATGAACACACATGCTGTCCTGAAAGAACATCCTGGAGAGGCCGTAGGAGCCATTTTAAAAAGGGGGATTCCTGAAGGAGCCAAAGAGCAAAGCTCTCCTGAATGCTGTTCTGTGGCTATAAATAACAGAAGTTCGTTCGGTGAGAGCTAGCTTGCTCTAATCTACAGGTACCAATGTCCTTGTACTTACAACCCAAGTGTAAAATCCTCCAAAACAACAGAGTCCTCCAAGGTTCTTCCCCAAGCCCAGGAAAAATATAGCTATCTGAACGGAAGAGAGTGAAGATACCACTAATACAGAACCATCTGATGAACTAAGACTTACACAGAAAAAAGAGGTGACACCAGGCTTTATTGCTCATGTCTGTGATCCCAGCATGCAGAGGTAGAGGCTAGAGCATTGCTATGAACTTGATTCCATGATAAGGGTACACAGTGAATCCCAGACCATCCTTCCAGCCTTGGCTGTAGTCTAATGTCTTGACTCAAAAATCCAAAACCAAAAATCAGTCAG